CCCCCACCCGACCAGCCCACCTCCAACTAACACATAGCAACGCCACCCCAACCACCCCCGACTCCAACTTAAACATCTGAATGCATGCGGCCTTTTTTACAAGCTTTGTAGTTGCAACACTTGCTTATGTTGCTAACAATGTGTGTGTGTGTGTTTGTGTGCGTTGCGACTAAGATACCATGTACAGCATCACAACTCCAATAACACACACACACAAACACACACAGCCAGACATCCCTGCCTGTCACAGTAGAGCCCCCCCCCCCCCAAGTTAATTGGCTAAACATTGGCTGGGTGGTTGATTGGGATCACATCTTAAATGGCTTTGCCTGTAAAGTCACAGGAAGAAACACACCAGCAACCTGATTTGAGCTCTCAGGTGGCCTTTTTATCTCCTGTCCTACTGTTTATTGCATCGCCATACATAGAAATTACACATAATTAGGCAGCTGCGTTGAGGATTTTCCAACCACGTCTGGCTACGGTCAACGCATGTGTATTTATTTAACAAAAAAATAAATAAATAAAAGGATGCAGACATCTTTAAAAAAAAAAAAAACATACCGGTACCTGTATTTATAATATTCATTAAGAATTAATGAATTAAATTTGATATTTAAAAAAAAAAAAAGTTAAAACTTTACTCTTGTAATATCACTTTTTTTTTTCTTGTGACAACAGCTTTACACTTTTAGAACTGTGTGTTTGTTCATCCATTTTCGCTAAATGTTGTCAAAAGGATTGTCATACATTTTAGACATTCCACTGCACAATGTGCCGCTGATCCAAATTTGGGTCGTTTGGCCTTGGTGGAGGTCTGAGCTCAACTCGGCACTAATTGTTCTCTTTAATCAGACGTGACTGAATGTTGGGAATGGATGTTAGCTAAAAATGGATTCCCCCTTCTGTTTGCTAACAATGTCTCGCACATACTGAGAGACTTGCGAGGTTTGTTTTTAAGAGCACAGGTCCGGGTCGGCGTCGCCACCTGCTCCGCTGTGCCGACAATACCTCTGTTACAAGCGCACAAACAAAGACTTGACAAAAAGTGCGTTTCTGTGGTTTTGTGTGTGTTTTCGGCCCCCAGAAAGGCGACCATTCATTAGGGCGACAAAAGGCGGCAAAGAAATGCATTATCATAATTAATCTTGTGCTGAGACTGTGGGTGGCAGCTTCGCCTCTTCTCCGAGACTGACAAGAGGCATTTTTTAATGCAGAAAAAGTGTCGCTATGGGTAACTTGTTGCCGTTTCATAGATCTTGCGCTCGTGATAGAAAAGTAGGGTGAACGCTTCCGTGTGTCTCTGAGTTAGTCATGAAGTGAAATGAAATACAACCACCAAGATGAAAATATTTTATGTGACTGTGGAAGAAGCCCATTTTTCACTTTTATTGTTGTATTCAAGACTTATTTATCCAGTTAAGGCAACTGAGAACATATTCCCATTTGAAATGCCGACCTGGCATATCAAAACTAAGCTCTTTTTGAACATTTTCGTCTTTATGTGGCTTTTTCAAAGAATAACTTTTTTATATACATATTTCAAATGACAACCACAAATTAGAGAACGTATCAATACAAACGTATCAGTACATATCAATGACTAGTTAGCCTAGCTTTTATCCCGTCTCAGTGGACGGCCATTTTGCAACTTGCTGTCGATTGAAAATGACATCAGCGTTGCTCAGGGCTCAGGTCCCGACCAATCACGACTCACCTGTGTTCTGAGTTTGGTCATGTGATGTTCGCAAGCTGAGCCGTGATTGGCAATGTAAAAAAAGTCAATGTTGCGCGGAAAAACTAAAGTCTAAATGGTAATAGGGAAAGGTCTCAATCTCTCAAGAATGAAATCAAAATTTTACTCGACAAAATCTTGCGAGACAATAGTGGTGATGTTAGTGGAATAAAGTGGTAAACTTATGAAGAAAAAAAAAATAGCGTTTGAGGTCTTGAAATGTTATTCACCATCTTGTTTACATTAAAAGAATGAGCCATAAAGTGTTTTGCCCCAGCCTTGATTCCTCTTTCTTTGCAAAATAAACATGTCGTGGGTCTGAACCTTGAGGGTGTTGGCTGTTGCGAAGCAGATGGATGCCAGAGTGGCTCAGTCGGCAGTCCCAGGCCGACGGACGGCCAGCCAGCCAGCTAGCCATGCATGCATGGACGAATGGACAGATGGATGGAGCCACTGGGGAGAGATGAAATGCACATTTGCTTGGTGGTAGGAAGTCAAGAGGTGAGAGACGAGGGAGAAAAAATACGACTTGCGGCAAAGATGGAGGCATCAGGAGGAGTTAAAAAAAAATGGAGGTCTGCGTAGAGCAAAGTGGATGCACAAGAGAGACCATGTGGGGCACAGAGAGAGCCTTGGGTGGTTTGTGTACGCACTACGAGGCGCTGTGATGGCAGATATCTGCGCAGCGCATGGTCATCTCAGACAGCTTATTTATCCAAGGCCTCCAGACCAGGCCTCGGACCTCCCTGAGTTTGTTAGGCTTGAAGGGGGCCCCTACCGCACAGCCCAATTCCTCACATTCCACTTGAGCTCCCATTTCCAGCTGCCTGTTTCCCTCTACCACTCAAACCGGGCCCGAGCCTGTCACGCCGTGTTCCACCACGGCAAGGGGGAAGAAAAAAAACACCCCAAAAAAAAAAAAAAAACGCCCTTTCCGAAATGTGTCTTCCGGCTCCGTATGGGCTCCTCCATAGGAACAGATGAATACGAGGGAGAATAAACGGTAAGGCTGACCTTTTTCACCGATTTTGTTCCGAACCTTCATGGATAGAATCTCTAGGCGCAGCCGAGGCATTGGATGAAACTGGATGAAGTACAAAATGGTGTGTTGAATTTCATCAATTTACTCATTTCAGCAAGTGGTTGCTCAAAATAAACCACAAAACCACCTAAATTGTCTGCTATCTTAACACTTAACGCAGTGTGCAACATGCCATAGACAGACTGACCAAACTAATATCAATGTTGATGGATATTTAAACACAAATTGTGTAGCAACACATATAGACAGACAATCTGACCGGAAAGCATGCATATATATATATATTTTTTATATATATATATATATATTCTTTATCCTCTGCAAAAAAAATGAGATTACTGCACCTTACGGCGCTCCTTAGTTGTGAAACTCTTCTTCATGTATCATTTGTCTTTTATCCTCCCCCTTGGCAGCCAGAGGCGCCCACCACCAGGAGCTCAATGTCAATCGTGCTGCACATCCTCTTTAAGAATGCCTGTGATTGGCTGGCAAGCAGTTCAGGGTGTCCCTCGCCGACTGCCCGATGACAGCTGGGATAGGCTCCAGCATGCCCGTCCGTGACCCTGGTGAGGATGAGCGGATTAGAAAATGAATGGATGGATTTAATAATGTTGCTGTAGATATTTAGAAAGCATAATATTGTGGAGTGCTATTTTTGGGAGGTGTTTTATTTGTCAGGCTGGAACGGATTAACGGCATTTTCATTCCTTTCATCGGAAAGGTGATTTGAGGTATCGACGGAACAAATCACACTCTAAGCCATGGCACAACTGTCGTCTATTTTTGTGGTTGTTGCTCTCCCTTGCTAGCCCTTAAAGGTGTGATGTGTTTTAGCTTTCACCTCAGGTAAATGAGTGTTATTTTTTTTTGTTTTGTTTTTTAAATCAGCCGTTTACGCAGACCTCATGAAAGTGATTCCTTGTGCTCTATTGGTGCAAACGCCAGAAAAGCCAAGTCAGTGAGCATGCGTGGTCCATAAAGGTGCAGCTGTCAGTAGTGGACTGACGCTGCGGCACCAACACCTAAATCCACTTACTCCACATCAGCTTCCAATTGTTTTTAAGTCAAGCAAAGGGGCTCAAATTAGCACCAGGCGCCTGACAAATGTTCCCGTACAGCGACGCCGCTAGCCCTGCTAGGACGAGCGTGTGCTATCATGACAGGTTTGTTCACCTTCGTACTTTTTACTTGGCAAACTACACTTCCAAGCTTTTTTTTTTTCCCCTCCTCTTTTTTTCTGAGGATTATAAATCAGTTTTGTCTGGGAACCTTCTTTCCAGGCTCATGTGAGCGCCTTTGTGAACTCATGAAATCATGCATGTCAAGACGTGGAACCGTTCCAAAGAGTCTCCTTAGATAAGAGTGTACCTCTGAACCAAGCAGCCACCTTTGAGGGTCTCCTTTAAGAGGGGGTTAAAATACAGGCTATAAGTCTCGTGATGCTTTAATGTCAATACACTAGTATGAGTGCAAAGCTTAGAGCCGTTACGTCTTCTCATAGATGCTTGTGTTAGCAAATTTATTTGCCCAACAAAGATTTGGTGGGTTAATATAAGACGAGGGATGCATCGTTGTCTTTGTCGAAGAATAGGGAGCAATTCATTTGAAAGATTGAGCACAAACAAGGAATAAAGTGCATAAACAGGGCATCGTGTAAACTAGCATGGAACTGTGACTGGGAATGATGAATGGGACATCCATCCATCTCGTTTTGCACATTTTTCTTCTCACAAAAATCCTCTCAGTCAAATGTTTCATATTATTGAGGTGCTAGGTTTGTCCTGCATATCAAATCTGCAAAAAAAAAAAAAAAAAGTACATTAGCTTTACACACGTTGTTCTACAGCGCAGTAAGAGAGCCAGTGCGAGCGCAACTAAGCCGTGTATGCCATCTAGTGTTGAATGCTGATATTACAACTTAAAACCACGATAGACCCCCTGCATACTCGTGATTCGGTACCCGTGGTTTCGCATATTCACGTGTTTTTATGTCATAGGGAACAATAACAGGGAATAACATACGAGCAGGAAATCTACACAAGCAATGCAAGTTAAAACGGACATCAACACTTCAGTGTGCGCAAAATTGAGTAATATAAGGAGCCCGGACCAAGAATTATAAAACCAACTGGGAATAAGTACACTACCACGGAGCTCAAAGTGGGAATAATGCACTTTAACTGGGATTATGCATGCAAACGGGGAATAATGTGTACAAGCATGCAGTCAGCAAGCAAGCGTGCGTGTGCGAGCTTTATTGAAAGAGTTCCTCTCTCTCTCTCTTTCTCTCTCTCTCTCTCTCTCTCTCTCTCTCTCTCTCTCCCACCCCACTTTGGTGAGCTGTTGCTTAGCAGCTAATAATAGGCGATGTTTGCAAAGTAATTTGCCTCTTCCTCGGCCAATGGGAGCCGCGGCACTTTTCCATCAAAGCTCCCTTTTCAGGATTTGCGGAGAGGCGAGCTCGTCCAAATGTTGCCGCAGCGCGATCGGAGCTAGACGTGACGCGCGACCACCAGCAAGACCGCCGCTACAACTACTAGCAGTACTATCTGAGCCTCTGTTAATATTATTATTATTATTTTTATTATTATTTTTTTTTTTTGCATGTGTCTGTTTTTATAGCAACTCCGCGATCGAATGACGACAGAAGGATCTTTACGTATTTGGGCGCATAATGTTGGGATGGAGTTTGGCGACTCGTTCGGCTCCACGGAAGACTAGCAGGACACTTTCTTCCAACTCGTCGGCGCCGGACGCGCTCCTCTCCCATGTCGGATTACTGCGGCGCTCTGTGAAATCGCAGCCGCTTTGTGTGTCGCTTCGCCCCCCAAGCCTCTTCGGACCATGGCCTCGGATAGCGGGGTCCCAGGGGCCGGCGTCTTCGGGGAGTTACCCCCGAGCTTCGCGCGCTCCCGGCCGGCCGCCGACGCCGACGCGCTCCGGGGACCGAGCGGTTACTGCCACGCCGCTTTCGCACTTAAACAGATCTCAAAGGTGATCACCCGGGATTTGGTTCTCAAGGGTAGATTTTGTTGTTTTTTTGGGGGGGAGTGTGTAGTCTTTTACTGGGGGTCCCAAGCCCACTTCCAAGAAGTGTCTTGCGTGGATGACAAGGTTTGTCTTTTTAGCGTACTGAGTGTTTAATTGCTTCAAGATTAACTTCAGTGAATTTACGGTAAGGAATTTTCTTTACGAGGGGGATTATTTGTTAGTGTTGTGGAGTGTTTTGGGAGTGTGTGGTCCTTAACTGGGGGTCCCAAAACCAATTCTGTGGGAGCCAACCTGCAAGAAGTCTCATGTAAGGATGCACCACACTTGGGCGGACTTTTAAATTAGTTATCGAACTTTATTGAATGTACATGAATTAGGGGATTTTGTTCAGAAGGGAAGCTTTTTGGGGGGGTTGGTTTTCGCATATAATCTTTTACTGGGGGTCCCAAAACCAACCCTTTGGAATCCAACTTCCAACGAGTCTCGTGACTATATACCAAGGAGTCAAACCTGAATGCTCTCCAATTCACTAGACTTGTGCGATTTTGTGAACAAGTTGGACTATTGAATACCTAAAAGAAATCTAAAATGCAAACTTGTATTGGTTATTGAAGGATTGCCTCGAATTCCCGTTCCGTGTTGTGATAATGTCACACATCCCGTGCGTGTGTTTCTGGCTTGAGGCAGCCCCTCCGAGCAGCACGGTGGGCTCCGCCAGGCTCTTGTTTGGAAATGCGGTGGGTCCTGTGAAGGAATTCACTGATTGAGTTTGATCTGACAAAGCATCTTTTCGGACCGCCCCGGTGCTTGGATGTGTTTCAGCTCCGAAGAGCGGAGGGAGGTGGGGGTGGCGGGAAGGAGGGTGGGGGGGAACACAGCGGTGACACTTGCCGCGCTCGAAAGCGAAATTTCAAGCAAATATGCGCATGATCTAGCAAGATAGATGACTTGCAGGCTTGTTTTGAACATGCACAAAAGTTAGTAACCGGCTTGATTAATGTGGAACGTTCGTGACTTCCAGTGTGTTAATTCAAGCCATTTGGAGGCCTGATGTTGGCCTCCGACTCGTCGTTAATTGCGTTGCGTCATGGGAGATCCTGCCTCAGCTTTGGACCCGGTTCATGTGATGGATGCCGGGTTCCGAAAGCCACGGATTGCTCCTAAAGTCTGCAGACTACACGTTGTAAAATCATGTGGCGAGTTGCCCTCGATGGAACCACAAATGTCCAATAAATCATATGTCTAATATTGATGCGCTGTGATTGGCTGGCAACCGATTCAGGATGTGCCCCGCCTCTCGCCCAAAGTCAGCTGAGATCGACTCTAGCACACCCACGATGAGGATAAGCGGTGTTGAAAATGGATGGATGGATGATATAACAATGCTAGCGATGTAATGCGTACGGCAAAAACATCTCGCCAGAAGCTGAGCTGCACTTTTGTTTTTTTTAAAGCAGGGATGTCCAACTCCGGTCCGCGAGGACCCCTGTCCAGCATGTTTTTTGATGTCGCCCTCCTCCAACACACTTGATTGAAATGATCGGCTTATCAGCAAGCATTGAGAAGCCTGACAACGAACTCGGGGGTTCCAGTTGCGTCGTTGATAAGGACCGAGATCGTCCGTTTCTCAGTGCAAGTAACAGCTCGTAAATAAGCTGCAGCGCCATTGGTTTTGTCGTTGGTCTGGGCCATAGTCAGCCGTCCATCGGGGGACCCCATCACCTCAGTTGCTTGCCCTTTGGCGACATCTCGGCCCTGACCTAAAACGTTCTCTGAAACGATCGCCTCTTCATATGACGCAATCGTCACTGCCTTTTGAGGAGGATCGGTTTTACGGCGAGTTTTGAACGCGATTCAAGGAATTGTGGGAGGTTCTTGAATGTGGCTCATGGTTTACAGTATCCGTCGTCATTCTGACCGTCCTTTCCCTCCTCTTCCATTCCAGGGGAAGACGGTAGGTCAGAAAGCTCCCCTGTGGATCCGCGCCAGGTTCCAGGCCCTCCTGTTCTCTCTGGGCTGTCACATCCAGAGGCACTGCGGGAAGGTGCTTTTTATTGGACTCTTGGTGTTCGGGGCCCTCTCGGTAGGACTCCGAGTGGCCGCCATCGAAACGGACATCGAGCAGCTCTGGGTGGAAGGTGAGTTGAAAGTTTTTGTGACGAAAGAATGGAGGCCGCCGTGCTTCTCGGGTTGCTTTATTGGTCTGTGAGCCGTTTGGTGTTTGTCCTAATGAGTGTCAATTGGGGCTTTAGAGGTAATGGCGCATGAGCTTGTGTTCTCCCGGTTTATTGGGGCTGTACTTTTGGTATCGCGTTGACAGATTGTGTGTCTGTTTGGTGAAAATTGCAGGGAGGTCCTTGGTTTACGACAAAGTTCCATTACTATGGTGGTGACGTAAGCCTGAACTACTAACCTACGCCAACGCGGTCGTAAAGTCATGATTACGGTAAATAGTTGTATGTAAAGCACTTCAATATAAAAATATTAAAACGATCATACTAACAGCAGTAAATTACTGGGGTGACTGAACATGCTTTCCTGGACCGTGTCATGATTTATTCTTACGCCGCTGCGCAAACTATTTTATTGCGTTCGTAACCTTGAGACATTGTAAGTCAGACTGCTAGCTAGTTGCATTGCTATAGCATCGAACTGCTGAAGTTTATATCTCTGGTAAATCAGATTATGCCGTAGTGGATCATTAATGACGATGATGCCATTATGAAGTTTAAAAGTACAATACATACTTGTGAATAAAACGCTTTGAGGTCATATCTACAAAAGAATCAAAAGAAAAACAGCGAGCTATGCTACGTTTCTTTTTGTGCCAGGTGACAGCATATTCTTACGCCACGCCGAAGTATAAACCGAGCCTACTGTAGCAAAGCCCTAATTTTGGTAAACATTTGTAAGGAAAACACTTTAAGGTCTTCAATATATAGCAATCAAATAAAAACAGGAAGTACTATACGCGTGAGCACGTATGACCATGTATTCTTACCCCTGTGCTATCGTCGGTCACTAACCTCTCCTGACACAACAGTAAAGTCATAGTTATTGTAAATATTTGATGAAATTGATTCATCAATCCTTGGGAATCTTTCCCTGTAATGCTGAGAGCTCAGTGTCAGGTCTTGGATGTGGATGGAGCTCAGCTTCCCGCAGCTGACACGATGTTGGCACTTCTTTAGACGGCTAGCTAGTTGAGACCGAACCAACAATGCACTTCGTTCGGCCTCGGTTTTGCATCAAGGCATGATTTATCAACAGTCAGGACAATTATGTCGTTGGAATGATTCCATCTGCTCTGTTAGTACTCGGAGCTCATGTGTGAAGTGGCAAGTGATCATGTCGCACCTCACCCCCGCGCTATCTTCAATCCGGCCGCCGCCGCCGCTGGATTTTAGGTCAACGTTATCTCCGTACGTTATTTATTAATTTTTTTTCAGGGGGGCAGAAGCAGCTTTATTTGAGTTTTCACACTGGCCAAAATTCCTTTTAAACCCCCAGGCTTTCAGTGCCGCGGCTGATCCCTGCAGCAGATGGACTGTGTGAATGGTTAGCCATCTTTGAGAGTGGAGGGGAGTACTGGGAGGGTTTCGGACCCCTCCCTCCTCCACACACAGTCACCCCCCCCCTCCTCCTCCTCTTCTACGGCTCCCTGTGTGGTCCCTAACTATTCTTGGATTCCATTCAACAAGAGGCGAGGCAGGCAGGCAGGCACCCCCCCCCCCCCCCATAAACCCCCCCCCCCGGGCCCCCCCCCCCCTCCCTTAAACCACCGCCTCCTGGCCCTACCTCCTCCTTCTTCATGAGTAGAAAAAAAAAAAATCTAAGTGAATGCAGCTGAAGTTTACCCACCTGTTTTGCACGCTCTAAAAGCGCCACAGCAGTTGGCGAATATAAACAGACCCTATAGGGCCTTTTTCGGCCCACCATGTCAGCGTAGGACATGGGGGAGGGACAGGACCGCTGCCGTAGCACTTGCGCGCTCCTGATATTCAGTCGTTGAATTCAGATATTTTCAGCCTTATTTGACAACATATATTCATTGTCAGCAGCAACAAAAGCAGTCGCTGCTTCACTTCCCTTTCCGTTTTACTTAAGTGTAAAGATTTCACATTACCTCTTGAGCTAATTGGCCGGGACATCGTTTTTAAAAGAGATGTTTAGACATTTGGGTGCCAGTTGTTTTGGTGTGGGACTGAAGGAAGGAAAGGGGCA